GCCTCGGGCTTTACGGCGAAAATCTTGAAGGAACCTTCAGAGAAGAACCAACCAGGGTAGTTAGCTGTGTATCTTCATTGATTTATCTTCAGGTTGTCTCACCAGTCCAAACGTTGAAGTCTACATCCGGCAGCTCGGATGTGCTAGATTTAATAGGACCACAGCATGAGCTGGCAGGCCCTGATTCATTGAATCTTTCTCCTTGCCACATTTCCTTGTAAATGTTCAGGTCGCTGTGAGTGTTCAGAATTAACGTATCTTCATATGTCACGTCAGCCCTGGATCCATTCATCGCAAAAGTAAGACTCGGATATGAGTTCTGCAGTTACCTCGAAATCCTGCCTCATGTAGGTATCGTTCGTAATCATCGACCTGGCTAGCTCCAGCTATACAGCCAACATACAAGGAAAGATCTTTTTTGATGTCTTCAGGTAGCTCTTGGGTTGCTAGAATATCGCTGATTGCAACCCTGCCTCCCGGCTTCAACAGGCGAAACATCTCTTGAAATACAAGTGGCTTTTCGGCTTCCGGCACCAGATTCACGACACAGTTACTGATGATGCAGTCAACGGTGGATGAAGACAACGGAATAGAAGTAATGAACGCTTCAATAAAGGTTGCATTCGAAGCTCCAGCATTTCTCGTGTTTCGACGTGCCAATTCTAGCATGTCCTGCTAGATCTCAGCAAAAATTGCTACTGAATTTAGAGGATAGTCGGCATACCTTAGTCATATCAATGCCAATCGCCTTTCCTTCTGGCCCAACCTTTTTCGCGGCTAGCAAAACGTCGATACCCCCACCACTGCCTAAATCAACGACTATCTCGCCCTATATATCCTGGTATTAATATAATCACCAAGACATCGCCGCAAGCTATTTCTCACCAAGGCAATGTTTGCTGTTGCCAATGGATTCCCACAGCTGACACCTAGATTGGCGTTGTCGGGGATAGAGCGTAATTCCTCTATGTCATATCCAAATGCGGTTGCTACCTTTTGCTCGTATTTCCTCAGATTATCGGGCTCGGTGTGGTTCGCAACTGCTGCATAGCGCTCTTGCACAGAATGATAAATGTCCTCCGAATTCATTGCGAGGAAATCTAAAGTGGGGTAGATATGTAAAATTATGTTTTGCATGAGCAGTAGAGTCATGAAAGGAAAGAAATATTCATTTTAACAACGCAATTTAGAAGAGTTCGGGTCTAAATATATACTCGAGAGATCATATTCTGCTCAATTTATGTGGAGCTGGGTTCCTAATAGCGTTCCAACCTTAGAAGGTTTCTCCCTTCCTGATTCAACCATTTTGGTATGTCACTGCCAAGCCGAGAGATGTCACCAGGTTCGCCCCAAACTAGGAATGATTGTCATCACACTCACGTTATGAATAATTTAGCAACGCGCGAGTAGTAAGTTTAGACCTTGAAATAGTATCTAAATATATGATAATTGTCGGAAACAATTGGCGAGTTAAAATTGAATTATCTCGGATGAGTTTTCATCGCGTGCTAACGATCTCACATACCTGGGCCTCGCCGTTAGCAATTTACGATATGTATAAGTATCGATTCGTGGCAAAAAATAGGAATGCATGCATTGGCATGTCACTGGAATTATGCAGGGTATAAACCAGCCCGCTTCCAGCACACACAGCTTACAAGAGATTTCTAGAAATCCGTCGGATTTCTGAACAGTATTCGTTATTAATTGAATTGTCCATTAGCTACTAGCATTTCTATCCCTCGTGTCTCAAAAAAAAATACCATTTGATTTCAAAACAACCCTTGTCAGTGGATAAATAAATAGCCATGCAACTAAATTCGCAAGAATGGAATTAATCTCTCACTTTTCTGTTCAATCCTTCCATCTCACCCGCTTAGCTATAAATTTGACAACATAGACAAGGCCAAGCAGTACTGGGACTTCAATCAATGGCCCCACGGTGGCAGCAAGCGCTTGGTTGCTATTTGCGCCGAAGGTTGCAATAGCGACAGCGATGGCAAGCTCAAAATTATTGCTGGCAGCGGTGAAACTTTGAGTGGCGGCCAACTTGTAACCAAACCCAAGCTTGTAAGTCACAAGAAGAGTGACGAAGAAGACAATAATAAAATAAACAATAAGTGGAGCAGCAACTCGGATCACTGATACGATTTGATGCACCACCTGGCGGCCCTGAGAAGCGAATAACACAAGGATAGTAAAGAGAAGCCCAAGAAGTGACCATGGGCTCACCCACTTGAGAAACACCTGGTCATACCAGCGTGGGCTAGCGATCTTTCGAAGGATGATGCGGGTACTGATCGCAGCACCTAGAGGGATTCCAAGGAAAACCGCCACACTTTTAGCAGCAGTAGAGTAAGATAAAGTAACTTGGCTGTCTGCGTGACTAATGACTTTGATGAAGAAGATCGCCAAGGGAGCGAAGAGCACCATCTGAAGAAGTGAATTAACTGCAACAAGAATTGCACAGTATTCATTGTCACCGCCAGCGAGACCGGTCCAGATAAGGACCTGCTCAGGAAGGAAATATTAGTTCAGTAACGGCATAGGATAGAACATAATTACTTACCATAGCAATACATCTAGCCAATCCAACGAGAATCAAGCCCTCCCGAAGTTCTGGTTCGTCCGGTAGAAAAGCCCATGCCAGTGCCAGCTAGTATGTAATATTAGCAAGGATCGTTCCAAGGCTGGGATAAGTCGAATGCTTCTCCAAGTCAAAGTATTCTGTATCTTACCATGAGGAACGGAGCAATAATCCAGTTAACAAATATACTGAACGCAATCTGAACCCAGATCCTTCGCTCTTGGAAGACGTGGTGTAGAGATTCATATCGCACTTTGCAAAGAATAGGGTACATCATAACCAGGAGACCAATCGCTTATGAAGGTTAGTCACAGAATACGGTTGAGTAACGGATGATTAAGTACCAATCGGGATAGAAACACCAACAAATTCCCCCTTTTGAAGGGCGGGACCCGTATTTTCCACAAAGTTTCCCAGTATAATTCCAATAGCCATGGCAAGGAAGATCCATACGGCCAGAAAGCGATCGAGCCAGCCGAGGCCTTTAAAGGCTGATTGCTTGGTTGCAGATTCTTCAAGTTCGTTGGCCCTTTGCTTTTCAACATCCTCGTCCGTGGGAGTTCTTGGAGATTGCATTTCGGCCGCCGCCGGGAGATCTATCCGCGATAGTGTGGCCATCTCTAGCACCAGCAGACGAGCTGCGAATGGACAAGGAAAATTCTATCGGTGAGTCGACGAAAATGAAACGAAAATGAAAATGAATCAACTATAGCCCTCTGTTAAATAACTATACGAAACCCGTACTAGTTTTGCCTTCAGGGAAAACCAATGGGCCAATCACACCGGACGAGTGACAGTCTGCCGCTATCGACCAATGATGTTCAAGCAGTGACATGCTCGAGGCTCGTGATTCGTCATGAAAAAAAAGATCTTGTAAATTTTCGACCAATCATCACCTCGGAGTGACATACAGCTTGGTATCAAGAGTAAATCTACGTGGACATCCTCAAAATAATCTTCCATACCACGCCCTGACGGCCTTGGGGCACAGTGAGACCGCAAGCTGCCAATACATAACTGTTTGTAATATAAATATATCAGGGCGAATCAAATGACCAGAGCGATTTTTACTCTGCCGGTATGAGCTGTATTCATGCGACTTCTTCATGCACCGGGGCAACGACTCACGAAATGCCCCCCATAAAACCCTAATGAACTGCGGGACGCCCCTAGATATCGGAATGTTCTAGACTAGTGGATTATTAATTTTGTCTACTGCACGTCCTAGAGTTGCCATGTAGTAGTATATAAAAGCCATGAACAGCTGTCCGGTGGTAAGGTCCATTTTTTCTTTGTTCCCTAAAATCAAGCACTCAGCGCATAACCTTTCGTCTCATCACATCCATATTATATATTGGAGCAATTGTTTCTTTATATCCGCCCATAATTCCCGTTGTGATAGTAATTCCGATATCCCTTACACTCAACCCCAAGCTACTCCACAACAACCGCTCAACCGATTAGCCGCACAGCACACAATGGCTAATACGCCTAGCGTTTTGTTCGTCTGCGTGCACAATGCCGGTCGCTCCCAAATGGCCGCTGGTTATCTTAGCCATCTTGCCGGGGACACCATCGAAGTCCGTTCCGCTGGATCAGTCCCAGCCGACTCTATAAATCCCATTGTTGTTGAAGCCATGCTGGAAGAAGGGATCGACATCAGCAATCAAAAGCCCAAGATTCTAACGCCCACTGCGGTCCAGGCCAGCGATGTTGTCATCACCATGGGCTGTGGAGATGCCTGCCCCTTTTTTGCTGGCAAGCGCTATCTCGACTGGCAACTTAACGACCCGGCAGGAGAAGGCATAGATGCTGTACGGGTCATCCGAGACGAAATTCGTTATTGTGTTGAAAGTCTTGTTGCAGAAATCCGGCTCCAGAGTTCAATGGGTTGAAGATGCTATTAAGGACAAAGGCCCGAGCCTCATATCGCGCAGGCCTAGTCACTTCACGCCGCAATAGTGATTTAGGGCCTTTCAGCTTCAGTTATTCTTCCATCCTATAAACATTTCACTGTGATCGTCCCTCTCAACAGGTGCTACCTAAGGGACGCAATGCCACCGATCGGATGGCTATTTTAAATCTTATGCCGAAGATTGTGAATATAGTAACTATACAGTGGCTTGCGTTTCATCTAATCGTACTCTATGCTAACACTTCGATGGTATCGGCCTATTTATCACAACGGGTGAACTCGCATCAACTGAAGTTCATATCGAATTCTTCCATTCCTTGTAGGCCGAGACGCCCGGAATGAACCCCATCAGGATCCACTTGGACCCAATAGCATCATGTGCTCGAGCATGGAAGACAATTACACGTGGCACTGGGATTTTATTTACGACGAAGGAATCTCATCGATTCTAAGGAGTGATAACAGCAGTTCCAGGAATTCTGGTTATATTGCCGTGACCTAGAGTTTGAAAATAAAATCCGAGATCTCAATATCTCCCATAGCGTCATGTAAATAGCGGGCACAGACCAATCGGGCAACCCCTGGAGTTTCCGTCAGAGCCAGGAGAATATCAGTGAAGCGAGCGGCTTCCGGTATAACTCGAAAAGCGTATTCCGAGCTCTCCTCCAATGCGCAGGCCCGCTCGTACTCCAACCTAGAGATCTCTGCAACAAACTTGGCTATCAAAGAACTCTCCCACATTCCTTCCTGGCATCTTGACTTGTACAATAAGGCAATAGCTTCTTGCCTGATTGAGTGGGTTCGACATTTGAGAGCAACAAGGTAAAGTGACGGAATAATACCAGACTCGAGAGTGAATGTGAGACAAGGTAAGGAGGATGAAGGGTCGGTACTCTGGATATTGCTGATGAACCTTCCTGCAAGTTGTACGACACGCCTGAAATGCTCGTCAAAGTGGTCGCAAAGCTTTTCGTGTGTGTCGCGACAGGTGGAAATTAGAAAATATACGTAAAAATGCTGGACCTCGAGCAATATCACAGGCAATGAGTAAGAATGAAGGGCTCCCCTGGAAAGAAGTTTGAAAGCGCCCAACCACGCTTCAAGATCAGATTTGAGCTCAGTCATCTCCTCTGTCATTTTGAGAAACGGGTTCAACTCTGTTGTTCTAGCACATGCATGATACATGCAGAGATGGGACACCAAGTCCGAGTCATAAATGGTATTTTGGTTGTCCAACTTTGTGGAAACAAGCTGGAGCAATTTACCGCGGAAGCTGAAGACGGCATTTGCAAGGAAATCCAGACATCCTCTTGCCTCAGCGATGGTAGCGAATCTTCTTGGGATTATCATTGGAGAGGGTAGTTGATCGTCGTGACCAACAAAAGCCAGCGCAGGGCTTCTTTCTCCAAACATAGTCGAGTCGTAATCCAACCTAGCAAAAGAGCGAGCTATCTGACAAAGAATCGAGTCACTGTGGTGCGAAGGGAGTCTGACAGCTAATGCCTCTGAGTCTCTTCGATGGCCTATCTCAACATCAAGGGACCCGGAGCAACATAAAATGCGCAGACCGGTGCGAAGATGGACCAAAGCTCCTACTCTATTCCCTTGAAGCATTTCAAGGCATATGAACAGAAGACAAGCCACAAGCGCAACGTGAGTAGCAGACTGATCGGCCTTGACATCGAGACGTTTTCGAAGATGGTTTAGAGACTTGACATACTGTTTAATCGCAAAAGGATGGCTTGGCTCACAGAAGCTGTTGAGTTGAAGGGTAGGACACTTTGCCCTCAAGAATCGATGCATAGCACCAACGGCTATAGCTGCATGTAGAATACAAGGCTCATTATGGCTTAGTTGTAGGACTAGCTGTTCCCATATTGATGAGCCAAAGCACCCAGGGATTTCCTGTGCGGTGTGACTTCGGAAGAAGCGAAAACTTTCACATTCCACAAAACTCAAGAGTTGGGAGATGTTAGAATTTATTTTCTCGTGCAGCGAATGATTTTGAGTGCATGACCTTGAAGATCGAGGCTGCAGACTTCGTTTCCCTTTATGTTTCTCTGTCGCGTCACGGGCGGAAGGGCCTAGGAGCTCATACCCATCGCATCGTCGACCAGTAGAAGTACAGCGTTGACAGGAGGGCCTTTCTTCGTCGCATTTTATTTTTCGAACTCTATAATGATGGTAAGATTAGACCTACGAGGGCAGCGGAAGCTTATTAGTTAGAGCACGTACCTACAAGTGCGGCAGCCAGTCCTCGCTCGGGTATTCTTCATTGCCACCGCTCGCATAATAAACAGAATGTAAGAACAAAGTGGACTGGTTAGATGAGAAATGTTGCGGTTTTTGACTTGATCTTGAATACTATCATAGTGGTCAAGCTGAAGGAAGCCCCGCTCGAAGTTATCATGGTCGTGCTAGCTTGTGTTATGCTGATTGATGAAACGTGGGGGCCAACGTAGTGATCAAGAACCATGATTGGATTGTTCGGCAATGAGAAGTCGAGAGCCAATCATGAAATAACGCCATTCTGTCAGAATTAGACCAAGATCAAATCCAATACAATACATGATATATGACCTGGAGCATCCTATTTGTTTGTTCGGCGACCAAGCTACAAGAACCAATCAAATTCTACACGACAGACAGTAAAGATAGTTGATCGTCAGATACTAGACCCTATTGTCAGTTCTTCTGGCATCAGCATTTCAATGAGGTCGAGAAATAGCAATTTTCTTCGTAGGTGCTTGCGGTATAAGTATCTTGTGAGTTGTCGATATTTTCAATTGTTTACTTTTTTTGCTTCCCTCCCACATTCACAATTTAATAAAAACTTGAACGCTTCAACGATCCGTCAGAAGGGCTTAGTCAATATATCCGAGTCTTTGACCACTCTTGTTTTCAACCAATATGTCTACTGGAATTCAAATGATCCACGTCCATTATCGGAGCAATTCTCTTTTGCTCCTGGATTCAGATGATATAACCCCACTGTATACAGTGCAAATAGGCCGTAAGACACCGCAAATGCAAATGGTTTCACTCTGCGAGGAGCATGCTCAAGTCCCCAGCGATAATGACGGCAGCGCACGCAGACTGTCCACCGCATTATTTAAGATGCTAAGTACGGACGTGCAACTTTCTATTCGCGGGAAACCAGCTCTGATGCAGCGTTCCAACCTCTTTTCTCGATCGTACTGCTTCCGAAGCGTCGCTCTGGATGGGGAGTCTCTGTTGTGGGAGGCTGATGGGGCTCTTTCCGGGGATTTCAAACTTGTCCATCGGCAGAATGGGCAAGTGCTGACACGGTTTCGGAACAAGGTATTTTCAGCAGTAGAAGTTGGGTCCTTTGAAATGGTCGGGGAACTATCTGAGAGGCTCAAGGAGGAAATTTTGATCACTGGCTTGTCAGTGTTGGTCATGGTCCAGAGTTTGAATTTGGCTGGAATGGTTTTGATGGGAAGTGGGTAGATTTCAAAGTTAGTTGTTGGAGTGGATATTATATACTACTGTTGTTAAACTAGTGGGTGCTATGACAGAAACAGAGGGAAACCCTGGAATTTTCGAGTATATGCGGTATAATAGGAAGTGGAAGTGTGCCGACTGTCCTGGTGTATATCAGTACCCGTACTATAACTAGTACTACTAGTGTACTATAGCCATTCTGATGGCCCACATCACACAAGTCACGTCATTTTACTCCACTCTGTTTCCATGATAAGAGAAGACAATTGAAAAAGAAACAGAAAAATTAAATTGAAAAACAAAGACTACGATAATCAGATCAAAAATGAACAGTTCCCATTGTATCGCGATGTTCATCCTCGGCAGTGAATTTGCCGACGAAGCAATAGCCGAAGTGCCCATGGGAAGCGGAGGGAACTGCGAGAAATCGGGGAAATCGGAGAAATTGGGCCGAGCTGATTGGTCATACTGGAATGACTAATCCAGTTTGACGTGAGGGGAAGTGCCTATCTTCACGTGACCAGGTATTCCGGAAAGGGAAGGGGCTACCAATAGGCCAACACTAACTACAGTAGCAGTTAGCATGGCTGATTAGTAGTATTAGTGATACGAGCTGGTGCATTTCCTCAATCTCTCCCTTCTACTCCACCCCCCCGAGATACTCCTACGCCCTGCCCCGGGGAAAGCAGAGTCGACTATCACCTCGCCATGCTTCCTAGCGAGACTTCCCCGCTGCTCCAGAACAACGGGCCTGCTTCTACCGGGGCCATTCCCACCCGCGATGCCGATACCGAGTCTGGAGACAAGCCAATTGCTTCGGAGGAGCTGGCCAAGGAGCCATTCCCCGATGCGCAGAAACAGCTGAAATATATCATCCCGGCAATCTCAATTGGTGTATGATAACGCATTTCTACCCTGCGCCGGCCCTCGTTGCGACGTTACATACATTCAGGCTAATCATCCACCCCGCAGATTTTCCTCTCCGCTGCCGACCAAACGATTATCATGGCCAGTTATGGTCAGATCGGTAGCGATTTGAAGGCCCTGAATCTGACCAGTTGGATCGCCACCTCGTACTTCTTGACCTTGACTTCCTTCCAGCCGCTATATGGCAAATTGAGTGATATCTTTGGTCGCAAGGCCTGTCTACTCTCGGCATATGCCATTTTTGGATTGGGATGTCTCTTTTGCGGGCTGGCCCGCAATATCAATGAGCTGATTGCTGCACGTGTAGGTTACGCCGCGGTCATTTCCGAAGTTGAATCCCGTAAACGAATATCCGACTGACAGTATCCTGTTCAGGTCTTTCAAGGTATCGGAGGTGGCGGAATGACGACCGTAGTCAGCATCTTGATGAGTGACATCGTCCCCCTGCGTGATCGTGGTCTCTGGCAGGGCATCATCAACATCATATATGCTACTGGTTCGGGAACTGGGGCACCTCTTGGTGGTATTTTGGCCGACTATATCGGCTGGCGATGGTAAGACCTATACTCCACCAGACGCTATTATTGGTGCGGCCTGTCTAACGTTGTTTCAGGGCATTTTTGGCACAATTCCCCATGTGCATTCTCGCCCTCATTGCCGTGTCACTGATGCTCAAACTCCCAGCTCGCGAGAATACCCACTGGAAAGTCAAACTTCGTCGCATTGATTTCCTCGGTGCTTTAGTTCTCGTTGGGGCCGTGCTTGGATTCCTGCTGGGTCTAGATCGCGGTAGCAATGTGTCATGGAGTATGCCCATAACGATAGTTTCGCTGTCTGTCTCCGTCGTCCTATTCGGGCTCTTCATCCTGGTCGAGGTCTATTTTGCCGCGGAACCTTTTGCCCCGGGCCATATCATCTTCAGCCGTACTTTCTTCGCCCTATACTGTTGCAACTTCTTCAGTTTCGGCGGCTGGCTTGCCGCGCTATTCTATATTCCTCTGTATTTTCAAGCAGTGGATGGAGTCAGTGCGACGGTGGCGGGACTGCGACTCCTGCCCAGTATTTTGTCCGGAGTGACTGGCTCGCTCCTCGCCGGGATCATCATGAGACGCACTGGCAAATACTTCTGGTTGACCATCGTGGCATACTCCTCTTTAACCGTTGGATGTTTCACGATCTACATTTTCTCCGGAGGAGTCACTGAGAGTACGGTTCCGATGATTTTGGGAATGGTCTTTTCGGCGTTTGGAAATGGCATTGGTGTCACCACCACCTTGATTGGGTTAAGTATGTGTCCACTGTATTCACCCCTGCACATCAAATTGCTTACCGATAATCTTAGTTTCCAATGCAACCATCGAAGATCAAGCTGTAGTGACAGCTTGCTCTTATCTCTTCCGCTCTCTCGGGTCTGTAATCGGTCTGTCGCTGTCTTCGACGATAGTCCAGCAACTCCTACGAGAACGACTGGCCCTCAAACTCAAGGACAGCAAAGATATCGATTCTATCGTCAACGGAGTCCGAGAAAGTCTCGACTATATCAAGAAACTCGACCCGGATGTTGCCCAAATTGTGCGCAGCTGCTACGGCTGGTCGACTAACAAAGGCTTCGGCTTCATGGTGATCGTCGTGTTCTTTGCACTCTTCAGTGCTTGTTTCATGCGCGAGGCCAAGTTGAGCCGTTGATCGAAATGTGACAAGTTCGCCAAAAATCATGACTAATGATAGTTCGACTAGATCTGTTTCTTTTCTTTTTTGCATATTTGGCATTTGCATCGGATTTTATGACGGTACATATATGTCCACCTGGGCAACAGGATGGGACTTTGATGGGAGAAAAGTACGCACTTGGATACAGCTTTAGATTGAGAAGTATAGTATAGTATTAAGAGAGAACCAGTAAAAACAAGCCATGGATCAATGCCTACTAGTAGGAATAATGTTGCCATAGTAGTACGAGTAGCTACTAGTATTCTACTAGTCGTAGGTGTTATTGTGGTGATCACCTGGGCAAAGCGGTGAAATGACGAACCTCCGTGCTGCGTTGGAACTCCCTCTCCAACACCTTTCTTACCTCCACCTTCTTTCCAAGGTTTTCTCCCTTTCCCACCTGGAGCTTTCAATCCATTCTAAGGTTCCCTTTTGAGCTCGGGTTTCAACCTTGGAAGTTTCCAGCTCGACGATGACCGTTCGATTGCCGTGACCGTCTCCCTACAGCTTCACCAGCTCCCTCCGCCATGTCCGAGCCGCACTCCGGACCGGTCTCATTGGCGCGATATCGTCCTATCCTGTACCTTTTTACCGGCGTAGCAGCTGCCTACGCCCTGCTATACATACATAACAATGTTGTCTCCCCGCAGTCTTCGGAAGCCTCACTCCGTCGTCGCAACGCCGTGCGCCGCACTCGTCGAACCGAAGCCGAAGAACTGGGCCTCACCGGAACACCATCCTACCGCGCAATCACCCACCTGGAGCAGCTAGAGCGTCAGAATGGCGTATACGGGACATTTCGCATTGAGACAGAAGACGGACGACGTGTGGAAAGTGGTCTGCTGCCGTCGTTGCTGGCAACACGCGACCAGCTGATGGAGGAAGTGGGTGTTCCTCCAGCTCACGCGGAGCGCATGCGTGAAATGATGGAGGATACCTTTCTCGAATCCTTTTTGGCCTTGGATTTCCCTGCTTCGCACACCCTACCGGAGGACACTCCTGAACGCACCTACTTGACAGAGCAGCTACAACGACGGGGAATCTCCCGGGCTGGAATCGAAAGAGCGCTCATCCGTTTCAATGGCGATGAGAACTACGGCGACCAATTGCGTCAGCGCAGACAAAACGGCGAGCGCGTCACCCTTTCAACCTCGACTTTCCCCGACGTGGCTGCATCCGCTCAGAACCCCGAAGCCGCAGAGGCCCCGGCCGATGACCAGAGTGTTTTTTCGTGGCGCGACGGCAACAATGACGCATCTCCTACCCGCGAAGGCCAAAATCTGCTCAACTTATTATACCATATTGCGGAGGATCAGGCACGGAGAGATGGCTATATCCATCGTGGTGTGACCTGCAACAGCTGCGGTGCCATGCCTATCCAGGGGATACGGTACCGATGTGCGAACTGCATTGATTACGATCTCTGTGAGACATGTGAGGCAATGCAGGTACATATCAAAACCCATCTGTTCTACAAAGTCCGGATTCCAGCTCCATTCCTTGGAAATCCTCGCCAGTCTCAGCCAGTGTGGTACCCTGGCAAACCAGCCATGCTACCTCGGAGCCTCCCCCGACCTCTTGCTAAGCGCCTGATGAGGGAAACCAGCTTCGAAAACACTGAACTCGATGCACTTTGGGATCAATTTCGCTGTCTTGCAAACTACGAATGGGCCGACGATCCAAATAAGCTCTACATGGCGATCGATCGCAAGACCTTCGATCGATGCTTTGTACCAAACACGTCTATTCGACCCCCTCCTCCAAGTCTAATTTATGACCGCATGTTTGCCTTCTATGACACTAACAATGACAACCTGATCGGATTTGAAGAGTTCCTGAAGGGACTGGCCAGCCTCAATAATAAAAGCAACGAAGAAAGACTACGCCGTGTGTTCCGCGGATATGATATTGATGGAGATGGCTACATTGAGAGGAAAGATTTCCTTCGCGTCTTCCGGGCCTACTATACACTCAGTCGAGAGCTCACTCGCGATATGGTTGCTGGAATGGAAGACGACTTTCTGGAAGGAGGAGCGCGTGATGTTGTCCTTGGCAGCCAACCGATCAGCTCTGCATTCCCGGGCAACATCCCATCGGGCGAAGCCTCGCGTATTGGCGAAGGCAAGCGACCTAACCTGGAAGGCGATATGGAGCTTGTTGACCACGGAGGCATTTTGCGACATGATGGTAACGATGTCGGTGATCGCCATTTGGTCATCGGTGATTCGGCCGTGAGGGAACAATTTGGTCGGACAAGGCCGATGTTCCCATCGACTCTACGACTCCCAGCGACTGGCTCAGATTCTCGTGGGCCTAACCCGGCTCCGCCCGGGGACGAGGAGGATGGCGACGATAACGACGGCGACGATGTTGACGACGACGAGGAGGAGGAGGTAGAAGAAGATGATGACGATGATACCGAGTCTGACGCATCTGGCTCATCAGCAGGTAGCGGTGGCTGGCCGCCAGCTGAGCACCTCCTCGAAGACGACATTATTCACGCCCTCGGAACGTATGTGCCCCCTCAGGAAATTACCGATCCGATCGATAGAGCTCGAGTGGTGACAACGATTTACCACAGGATGCGCGACGATGACAGAAGACGGATTGACGAAGCCCGGCGACATGGTATTGACGAACGTTGGCGGAGAAGAGCGTTCTATACCGATGAAGAGGACGGCGCTTCCATTCCCGATGGCTATCAGAAAGACCCGAACTTCGACGACCTCTCCGAGGATAACGATTCTGTGGATGTTTCTCGAGAAGTGTCGCGCCCACCTTCCCTCGCTCACGATCTTCTTCCAAGGTCCGGTTCCAGGATGATCTCACAGATGACTATGATATTCGATCTAACCCCTCAACTTCCTCTCGGAGTATCCCAGTCGGCGAGCGGTGGGGTGGCTTTGAGATCCCGGAGGTTGAAAAGGATGTCGGCAAAGAAATTCTCTACCAAGTTACTCAACAGGGCTTTAACGAACTACTCGATCTTTTGTTCAAGCAAAAGGAGGACCTGCTCATGGAAGTCTGGCGTACCCGTACAGACCGCAAAGTCTGGTCCCATGAAATCGATCTCGTGCAGCATACAGGGCCACCGCCAGAGCCTCCCAAAGAACAAGAACGGGTGCCCAATAATGAAGAAGAGCTCGAGGAAATGACTAAAGATCAACCTCTTGACGACCTTCTTGAGAGTGCTGGATATTCAGTGGTACAAAGCCCTGCTTTGGAACCTACCAACCCAGTCCTGGCCCCTCCACTGCCTGACTCCTTGTTGCAAGACGACGATGTCCGACCAGTGCACCTTTCCAACCCGGAAGATGACAATGGGCTTGGACAGGACCACTCTTTCGATCAAATGGACGATGAAGACGTCACAGACAGCAGTTCACTCGCTTCCTACGAACTAGAAGAACAAATTCTGAACACAGAAGACATCTCCTTCGAAGAAGAATCCTCGGACGAAGAGCCGGAATCCTTCATCGATGAATCAGCCGACTACGATCCCACACTCCCACAATTCCGTCCTGATGTCGCTGATGTCGCATGCCATGCCTCCCCTCACAGCACAGCGACCTCCGATCTCCCAGATCGCCTCCGCCTCGAACCAAATGGTACAACTTCCCTTCCAGCGCCTCCATCCCCACAAGCTTCCCCACAAGCAGAAGCAGTTGCACCAAAACTCCCTCCCTCCCCAATGCAACCCTTACCACCACCATCAAAATCCATCCAACCCGCAGCAGCGCAGGATAACATCACACCCCGACGCCCCTCTAATCGTACCCTCGTCCGATGGGCCTATCTAAACCAGGTCGAGCGAGACGCCAAAGAGCGCGGTGGAAGCGGAGCAAGACTCAACTTTGACGAATTCTCGCACCGTATGGCTGCAGACAAGGGACGCCGGTTGGCCTTTGTCGCTAGTTGGATTGAAATGGCGAGTTTCTAGGCATATACGTCTTCTCATGATTGTTACTTTACCCCCAACCTGTACATTAGATGTCCGATTGCAAGTATCGAAGTAGATCGTCGTTATGGTATACTTCTCGTCCTGTTTGATCTCGCGGTGTAAATTGGAAATGGCCCTTTGGCTACTTCATGCTAAGGCTCCTAGTGAGATACTAATGACAGTTATTAATCTCCAAAGATGTGTGAATCTCGAACAGTTTGACTGGACTTCAGCTCAATGGCGCATTGACCGCATCACACAAAAGTGGTGAAGGGTCCTCGCCACCCAGCGGGGGCATCATCATCCTACACGCCTTCTTTCTTATACCATATCCTCCGGGTACCTCCCTACTTACTTCATACCGCCAATCATAGTGTCGATCCTTGCGGTGATCAAATAGGTCAATGATGGCATCCCCGACAAGATTCTTCCAATTGAACTTGTTGCTCCTATCACTTTGGTTCATCCGGTCGAGCGGGTCCATACCAATCTCCGTCGCCATGGTATAATATAACACTAGGGTTTTCCAACAGTACTTGAGATACTGCCCGAGAGCCTCTCGGTTCGCTGGGTGTAGCGGATCATGTGGTGGATCGAGTTTGCTCTTCGGTGTTTTGTAGTCTGCGAACTTCATGATTTCCAGTGCCAACTCCATGGGAAGACCCTTCGAGCATAAAATCGACCGGAGCTCGTCTACCTCAGACGACGAAGCTACATAGGAGCAACCCTCGGGTCTCCGAAGTGACAGGAATTCACGAATCGGTACCCTTCCATAAGGCCCTGCTGGACCGTACTTTGCAGAAGGCATCCAACGGGGAAAAGAACTCTTTTTATTCCCTTTGCTTATGTGTTTGTTGATACCTTCATCGAGCAGCCAATGTTCGCCCTTTCCGGTGTTTTATTCCAAGAGTTCACATGATTGCATGCCAAAGAACTGCATGTGAGGGTATGTCCTCAGGTCCTGATCTTTCGCACCAGACTCAATAAGTGTCTGCTGGTAGAACCTGGCATTGCGATAGTCCTTTTCTTCGGTTCTGCCAGATGCAGAATCCCATGTTTCGGGGAAGCAGTATGCTACATTAAGGGAGACATAGACCGAGAGCATCTGCCGACATAATTCCTCCCATCCAAGATCGTGGGGCTTTTCAAGGTTAGTTAGATGCTCATGATGACAAGAAAAGAAAAGTTTACACCTTCGAAATATGATCCGTCATGCCAGAACCTCAGATAATTTTCCGGATGGGCGCAAACACGCAATATCGGTTCCATCTCCCCATATAGAAGGAGCGTGAGTACGAAATTATTATTGAATATTGCCTCATCGTTTGAGTCATCACCACTAGAACGCCAATCAATCTCAACACGGGGGTTTCGAAGAAACGCCGACATAACTCTTTCTTCTTGAGGGATGACTACACATGCGCATTCATCGCACAAATGTGTCCATCTGGGATTCTTTCCCACAACTTCAAATGCTTTGCATTTACCTGAAGGACAAGTGTTGGCTCGGGGCCAGTTGCGGGGCCAGTTACCGCGCCATCGACGGACTGTAGGTGATATCTTGCGAACAATAGCTTCATCGAGTATCACATCCGATGACTCGGGAATATCGTAGTGCTCCGGATACTTCTTTCGCTCGCAGACTGAATGCTCGTCGAGAGTTTTCACAAAGGCATTGACAAAGTGTGTCAAGTCCTTCGCCTGATCGGGTTTCATGCGCGGGTAGAGATTTGTGGCGATGTTGTTTAAGGACGTCGGGGTCTTCCATTCTAAATTTGAGGCGAGCAAGGCCCATGGGATATTGTGCGCTTGGTGCGCCATTAGGTATGTTCCGGTAAAACTCAAATCATGTCTCGGGATGTGTTTGGAATTTATTGCATAGGCTGCTTGTATGAATCAGAAAAAAAGCCACAGGGCGATGGGGAATTCTCACAGAATTTGATGGCCCCCAATTTTAGGGCGGCTTGTGAGGTGGCACGCTTACTTGTTCAGATGAACCTCGTTCGCTCTTTTTTTTAGAAGACCTGGACTCTTACCTGACTGGAATTATACGATTACTTGATTTTGCACCAATATTAAGCAATGAAAGAGAGGGAAGAATGAATTTCAAGTTTCCGGGTAAGATACTAGTATGAACAATTCAATTACTAAATATCGGTTTCCGATATTTCGCGCTCCCGCTAGATATTCTGGCTTCAGGCTCTCATTCAAATCATTTGCAATAACACAAGGTAAAAATTGGCAAATTTGCTACTCAATCTTGATAAATGTTTTCAGTGAGGTTTGAGAATGAGACAACCCTGGAACTTGAACGCGACGTCCCTATGCTCTCAGCTCTTCAGCTATAATTCCTTGCCTCACAGATTGAACCGCTGATCTCATAAGCTCCCTCTCGGCGAGACCTTGCACATCTCCAAATTCCTCGTCCATTTCCTCAAGTGTTTTCCCCTTCGTCTCTGGAACCAATATCAGTGCCCAGACCCCAGCCAAAAAGCACATTACTGTGAAGAAGATATAGGTTCGATAACCTTGGGTTGCCATCATTGGGGGTGTAGCAATTCCAATGACGAAATTGGACAGCCAGTTGACGCAGGTGGCCAAAGCGACGCCCTTGGATCGAGACGCTGTGGTGAACACCTCAGAAGGGAGTGCCCAGCCCAAGGGTGAGTAGGAAACACCGAAAACAATAATAAATAGGAAAGCGAAGGCAACGCAGGCCCAGCCGGCTCCAGTATGATTCAACCAATCGTGAGAGTATAATCCGCTCAGGATTGCAATGACCATGTAGCAGACAGCGCAACCAAATCCACCAAAAATAGCAAGAGGGCGGCGTCCAATTCGGTCAATTGTCATGATGCAAACAAATACCCCGACAAGTTGCAGGATATTGAAGACGCCAGATAGAATCAGAGACATTTCATCTGATTGACCGAGCGATCGGAATAGCGTGGGTGCGTAGTAAATGAATGCGTTCACTCCGGAGAATTGCTGGAAAAAGCACACGCCAACTGCAACAGCGGTCCGGCGCCAATTCTTCTTCTTAAGCAAATCCAGCCAGCTGTGCACTTCTAGTTTCCAGCCTTTAACTCCAGGGTGGGTCTGTTCTGCCACAAGGCGTTGGAAAACGACTTCGGAGAGGATCGCACTGTATTCAGCCTGCACGCGTTCATCTGTGGCAGGGAGTCCTCGAAGCCTTGTCAAGCTAGCCATACAATCTTCAGAACGACCCACGAGCGCAAGCCAACGTGGGGAATATGGGAAGAAATGTATACAGACTCCCAGTATGGTAGCACATACCATCTGTAGACCAAGGGGAAGTCGAAACGATAAAGTTCCTTCTAGATGTCGAGTGGCGAAGGTAATCCAATACGCGATCACAACCCCGGAGACGATGGAAACAGACTCCAGAACCAGCAATGTTCCACGAAGGTTCGGTGGTGCGATCTCCGAAATGTAGAGAGGCGCTGTCTGAAGATGAAGATCAGCAAGATGCCGCGGTACATCAAAATGGACTCGAAGAAATATAAAACGAGGAACAAAAGGATACTTACCATAGCCAAAGTTCCTACGCCGATACCACCAATTGCTCTCCCAGCAACCGGAGTTCCAAAGTCGGGGGCAGCTGTCTGGATGATTGCACCGAGATCAAAGATGACCACGACAACAGTCAATGCCCACTTTCTCGAGATCTTGTCCGCAAGATAAGGCATGAAAAGACAGCCAACAAATGCTCCAAGCAACAACATTCCAGTCATGAATCCCGTGCCAAAAGAAGTCTTGGCCTGGGGGTAGAGCGCATGGAACTGGTCCATCACATTGATGATGGAAATGACACCTTGATCGTATCCGAAGGAGAAACCGCCCAGCGATGCCAGAAAGGCGGCTCCGAAGACATATCCAGATGAGAAAAGACCTCGCACTCCTTCTGGGCCGTATGCCTCAGCGGAATGGCCGAGTGCGTCACGCGCTTCGACAGTGCTGATGGCAGTCACTTCAGCATGTTCTGAAGATGACTCAACCACAAACTTCTCGGTCTTTTCACCCATGTCGTTCTCCATCATAGCATAAAAATATGGATTGAAGAGGAGATAAAAGTGTGATTTGGTATAGTCCCAAATCCTATAATCAAGGCTGAGTACATGGACAATAGGGGGACAAATGCACCAGGACACAAGATTCTTATATTCAAGTTTTATTGGATATATGCTTTCCTGGGGATAACGGGTCTGGGGTTCGGGACTAGGTCGAATTGGAGCTTTCCATTGGCTCCGATCGGAGACAGTTTTTGGTGGCTGTCAAGGTTTCGTGGAGGGATGCCGATGCAGCCCGTCCCGTTCATCGGAAACAACCAGCAGAAGTGTCGATTGGACCTCGGGGATAAGATGACGAGACGAAAGCTTACGGAGACGGCATGGGCTGCCAAACTAAGCAACCCCAATTCTGTGGAATTAATGGAAGAAGAAAAAACGCGGCGACGAAATCAAGTTTCATGAAGAATTACCGAATATGGAAACCTGCGGCGACACCAAGAAACGCCGCTCTGACATCGACGATCCCCCAGCCCCAACTTCACGCAAGCCAATTGGTCCCCATACGCGTTATTTTTGCAGGTGCCTGTCAAGCGGGCGATTCGAGAAGCCCCGTGTTCAATATCGGCGATGATCTCTACAGACGGATTTTCTCCGTACCCGCATGACTGCTCTCACGAGGCATGATGCATTGGATGCGGAGGGTCTCTACGAGGTACTAGCAATTACTTACTACTAGCTATGCGGGGAAGTTTGCGGTTCCAATTGATAGCATGGATCCGTTTGAGAGAGACCAGAGGTTGATAAATAAATAAGTAACCCCAATCTCTCAAGGTGCAATATAATAATTTACCTCTTGAACAGACGTTTAGACCTTCTACCACACACTTCCAATTTTCTCAAAGGCAAACACGATCACCACTGCTATCTAATACAAAATTCTTGCCAAAAACACTGAAACACTGAACCATGTCGTACGGAGATCGACGTGTGAAGTTTGCGCTTTTCGGTCTTGGCCGTTTGGGGGTGCTTCGAGCCCGCATCCTCGCTTTCCAGCAGCCTCGAATCGAACTTGTCGCTGTCTGCGATACAAAGCCAGGCACTGACAAGTGGGCTGCAGAGAACTTGCCTCCAAATGTCAAGTATTTCCCAGACCCTCAAGAGTGCTTGAAGAACAGCGGCGCTGAAGCTGTTCTCATCTGTACCGCAACGGCTACACATGCGCCTTTGATCCTGCAAGCCCTTGATCTAAACTTGCACGTCATGTGCGAGAAACCCGTCTCTGTGGACATTGCTACTACCAAAGCAGTCGTCGAGAAGTCGGCTTCTAGACCTGACCTCAAATTTCTCGTTCCCTTCACTCGACGATGTAAGTTATCCCAGGCCTCACACTCTACATATCCGAAATACTGACCCGCTTCAGATGACAAGTCTTATCGTCAGGCCAAGGCCCTAATTGAGAAAGGAACCTTGGGTGAGATCCACGCCGTGGAGACAACTGGTATCGACCAAGCAGACCCGAACGGTATGACCATAGCTCCCCAGTCCTTCTATGCTGCGTAAATTGACTTACTGACCTTTTTTTCTTTAGCTTTCTTCGTGGCCTTCTCTGAGATGTCTGGTGGAATCTTTCTTGATTTTGGCATCCACACTGTAAGTATTCATATCTGACTCCACACTGATCTCCCGATTTACTAACACGGATCTAGGTGGATGCCGGAAGATACCTGTTAGATGTGAAGTCAGGTCTCTCCAACCCAAAGAAGCAAGTCAACAGAGTCATCGCCTTCGGCCAAAACGCTGTATACGGGGACTTGGCCAAGTATGGCGATGCTGATAACGCATGGGGCCTTGTGGAGTATGCCAATGGCAAGATCTTCAAGACATACCTCGGTCGTACGCTCACCAGCGGCTTTGAGGATACCACGCGATTGTGTGGCACCAAAGGACATTCGATCATCAGTTCAAACTCGAATGTTGAGATTCGCGACCATCTCGGTATTCGCTCGGAATCTGTTCCCGATGCATTCACTCTCTTCGATGCAACCTTCCTGACCGACCTTGCCGAGTTTGCTGATGCGGTACTTGATAACAAGCCCATGACTTGTGTACCAGAGGACGCCTTTGAGGCGGGTAAGATCTGCGCTGCCTTACAATATTCATTCCGCAAGGGTGTGCCAGTATACTTCGATGACAATGGTCTCCCCATCATGGACTAGATCAAATATTATTTAGATATTCTACAAGATAAAAGAGAATGAAATTGGCTTTTAGACTTCAGTTCAAATTCAATGACAGTGTAGAAGTTTTGTACCAAGTTTGAAATTTCTCTCTGTATCTTAGTTTTTGTAGAGCTTGAATCTCATATAGATTCTGCTTGTCACTTCTTCGTAAAAATGATACACTAAGAAGGACTATTCTGTTCTGCTCTAGCATTTACCTCCTCCATATCCCATGATCTGATGACCCTGAATGGGCGCAGTCGACTAGTACTAGTGTTTGCCATTAACGAATTATTCATGCCCATTTCTATGGTGACGCTTTCATATTCACTATTGAAGTCCTCTATGTACGTTCGAATGTCGTATGTTTGGCGGTTTATCCATCAACATGAATGAAACGCTCATATTGCTGAATCGTGCACCCGCAAAGCATCTTTCAAATTATGATGAACACCGTACTATAACGGTAGGACTAATCTAGATGAAAACATGAAATGAAAGTCTCATCATGTAGAGTAGTCGAGGTACTGGACAACAACCGATCGGATTTGCTGTTGAGGTGGCGCTATTCCATACGACTGCAACCCGTGAGAGTACCGCCGTTAGGTCTAGTTAAACTTCCGTAATGACTTACCCCGACAATTCAATCTAGCCTAGGAATTCATGATCACAATTTCTTTTTTTGGCAAAATCCCGGCTTCTTCTGAGTTCCGTCACCCGTTCGGTGTCCCGTGCCGATGTAAATGGATAGCTTCGTCGGGTTACTTCAAACCTGTTGAGGCAATATCGAGCGAACCTCGGTGCAGGGGAATTTCGTCACCAGAAATATCCCGAATTAGGAATTCCAGAAATATCAGTGAGGCATAGCTCGCAGAAGATCCGTCATGCGGGGTGCGGGGGATGTCATACCTTCCAACAGATATGAGAATAGACTCAATATAGTTGGAACGCGGCGAGACTTGCCTGATTCGGCAATTCTGGAGATGATCATCTTCAGTCATGGACTTTTAATTATGTGAGCTTCCAGTAGCTGGAGAATAAATATATAGATCATTCAATGATTTTTTTTCTTCTTCTATTAAATGGGGTAGAATCAGTACTATCTCTAAAACCTCCACGTTCTCCTGAGATCAGTCCATCAACATTGCCTAAGAGGCACCTTTCTCAGCATATTTCTCATCAAAACAAGCGAAAATGGCACCTTACGTTCAGGAATTTGCCGGCACCGATGCGGTCTCCAAAGCTCCTCTCCAGTCTAAGAGTGTGACCTTCAACCATGACCATGTCGTAAAGCCGGTCGCGGACGACTTCATGTACGACTTCAAATACAACCACACTCTCCCCACCACCGACGTTCTAGGGGTTAAGATCCCCGCCGACTGTGATGCTCGGAAGGAGGCGGAGGGAATCGTCGCACGTCTTTCTAAGGCCACATCAGAGGATGATGCGCAATCATTTGCTGCACTGTTCCTCGATTCTGGTAAGACTCTTCACAAAATCTGAGATCTCGACATTAGTTGACCTCGCCCACCTTGGACGTACAGGCGTGTGGCGTGATAAGCTCTCTTTCACCTGGGACTTCCGTACATTCAACTTCAAAGAGGCCATCCTCAAAGCGGCTACCGACCTTTTGCCTCAAACCAAGGCTAGAAATTTCAACTTTCTCGAACCTGCGCCCTCGGTGTCTCACCCTTACCCTGATTTCTCGCAACTCCAATTCGTCGTATCTTTCGAGACTGAGGTCGTTCTCGCTTCGGCTGTCATCAATGTAGTCTTCACTCAGGATGGCTGGAAGATTTACACCATGCACACTGTTGCCGAGACCCTCAAGCAGTTCCCCGAACAGGCTGCGCCAGATGGACATATGACCGGCATCACTAGCTGGGAGAGTCAGAGATCCGAGGCCATCAACACTGTTGACCCCGAGGTATTGATTGTCGGTGGTGGCCAAAAGTAAGAACCCATGAAATTGAGCTTTATGGTATAATGCTAATTCTTTTCTTAGTGGACTCGCCATGGCAGCGCGCCTGAAAGTTCTCGGTATGGACAGCCTGATTATTGAACGCAGTGAGGAAATCGGAGATGTCTGGAAGAAGCGTTATGAATATCTCTCATTGCACTTCCCACACTGGCCGGACAACTTACCATACTTCAAATATCCCCAGCATTGGCCCACCTACACTCCGGCTCAGAAGCAGGGTCTGTATATGAAGTGGTATGCCTCTGCGCTGGAACTTAATGTCTGGACCAAGTCAGAGGTTGTGAAGTCCGACCAAGATGCCGAGGGCAAATGGACTGTCACGATCAATAAAGAGGACAGAGAGACGCGCACACTGCACCCTAAGCAGCTCATTATGGCCACATCGCTATGTGGTGTCCCTTCCACACCGGCCGTTCCTGGCATGACTGACTTCCGAGGCGAGATCCGACACTCTAGTGCCCACAAGAGTTCGCGTGACTTTGTCGGAAAGAAGGTCTGCGTCGTCGGTACCTCATCCTCAGGTTTTGACACGGCGTACGAATGCGCTCGTTTGGGAATCGATGTGACTCTTCTCCAACGGTCACCGACTTACGTTATGTCTTTGACCCACTCCGTTCCTCGCATGCTTGGAATTTACGCACCCGACAAGAATGGAAATCTCCCAGATACCGAAGCAATGGATCGTATCAACTTCTCTACGCCAGTTGGACCTGGCGAGGAACTAGCAAAGCGCACTGCGAAGACCCTTGAGGAACTTGACAGGCCCCTATTGGAAGGTCTCAACGCTCGTGGTCTGCGAACATGGCGTGGTCAACGTGATACTGGCA